ACTAAAGTTAATGATTTTGAAATTGGAGAAGGCCCTGGTGATTCTGATGAGAAAATTTGTGGCTAAATGACAAGCTTAGCAATTGAAATGTCATTCTTTCCTCACTAGGAAGGAATCTTGGTAGCTTGTTTTGATATTTTTTCTATTATCTTGGGTTATTTCAGGGTTGTGATCCAGATTTTATTTGTTTTATTGAGTCAAACCCTTATATCCCTCTATTTGTGTGAGTCTTGTCTGCCTGTTCTATTGCTATTTTCATTATCCGGGTTATTTTAGGGTTGTAACTCGGATTTTAGGTTATTTGTCTTATTGTTAAACCCTTCTATCCCTTACTCAATGAAATACAATTGTCCTTTTGTGTCATTCTGTGCTTAGTTATTTTTCCGCTAGTTCTAATGACATGACACTTGTGAGGATGAATAAAGAGTCGCAACACTTTGGAATTAAGCTGGGGTAAAATTCATGTGGAACTAGAATAGTCATACCCGTGGAGGTTAATGATCTTTACCTTCAAATCATTGTGAAGGTCGGATTTGAGGAAATCAATTGAAGTTTGTTGTAAAGTTTGACATTAATGGATGAAAAGTGTCTTTCGACCACGACACACCAAGAAGATAGACGTGTTCATCAATGCTGTGATCGCGAAAGGACACTATGTTTGACGTTCTCAATGCTGGGAGGCCCTTTTTTTGCTATTCAAATACTTTATACCCTTTGTTACCCCCTTTGAGCCTGTGTTATTTTCTTTGACCACCCTCTTTTGGAATCAAGTTTCGAGTTAAAAGTAAAAAAAAAAAAAAAAAAAAAAGTCCATGTCCCAAGAGTACAAACTGGGACAACTCTTAAAATGTTCAAATAATAATAAAAAAAGAAAAATAAGAAAGAACACTCAAAGTCCATGCCCCTAGAAAATAAAAACTAGGGCAACTTGTTTTGAAACAAAAAAATATTAGGTCAGATGTATGAACTACGTTTGACCTGATTCCTTTAAAAAGAATATGTAGGCAGCCTTACACGGTTCGGTCCAACTAAATAAGAAGAAGAAGAAAAAAAAAAGATCCAAAAATCCCTAGTATCTGAAACTAGGACAAAGATTTTATTTCACTTTTGAAAGAGTCGATTCCAAAAGTTGTAAGTCTACAACCTCTCATTTTGAGTCTACTTTGAGCCTCCATACCGTCCTTTCTTTCCAACCCTATCCAAATAAAGACCTCCAGATATGCCTTCAAGAATGCCAAGAATGCAATGAGCAACGACTGTCATGCGACATCAAACACTGTCAAGTTGCTCACTCAAGAAAGCAAAAAAAAAAATGAGAGAGTCTTACTAGTGAAAACCCTCGCGGGCAGAAAACCCTCGCGGGCACTGTAAGGCGATGGTAAGTAGAGATAAATAAATGAGCCTTGTTGGTGAAAACCTCTCGGGGCACCACTAGTCAAAAGTGAGTCATGAAACTGATGCAAAAAATTAACACAAACAAGTCTGACTTCAAATCCCAAAGGAATAACGAAAGAAATGATTAGATCAGTTTGATAGATCAGTCCGGGCAGTCCAAAATGCATGTCATGATCATTAAGGCTGGTTACCGCAAAAAAAAAAACTCTTTTTTCTGTTCTTCCCGACATGGCCATTTCTTGTTAATATTGTTTCTTTGCATCATTGTGTCCTTCACTTTGAGTCAGTCCCTGTCAAAACAAGCAAGAAAAGATTTCAAAATCTGCTACCAGCTTTTCAGTTGCACAAAGTAAATTTGGCCAGCACACTCTATTGTTACAGTTAACATACCTTGAGGATTCATGCAAATCGTCCCCACCAAAAGAATCTTTTGAGCCTACTTAGCTAAAGCAAGCAAAGATAACCTCAAGGTTAATGAGGGATTCTATGTATTACTAAACAATGACTATGAAGTGTGCATATCATGCAAAAGGCACTTACCAGTTGTGATTCTCTCTGACAGATAAATTTTTCCAAAAGCAAAAGTCATTCAAGATATTAGGAAAGATTATCCAAGAAAAGAAATCTCCTTTTTGATATAAGGCTGATTGAGCCACAAAAGACAAATAGAACTGGGACCGAAACAATCAGAGATGATACAGAAAGTAAAGGCCCCTTGTAAGCAACAACAGAGTCTCCCAGCAGTGCAACCAACTATAAATGCAGTCAATCTTCCAAAGGTTGGATGACCCCAAAGTCAAGCTGCCAAAGACATCAAGGCCACAAACCGACCACCACTTTTAAAGTTGACAAAATTTTCTTTGTTTGAAACAAGAACAAAGCAGTGCAAGAAAAGTTGTTAGTCAATAACAAGCAAGGTCTTCCAAGTTGAAATCAATGTTGTCATGGAAAATATATGAGCAATCATCCTCGAGGTGTCGTACCCAAATTTTGTTAGCACAAAGGTTGTTTGAGAAGGTTTTATCTCCTAGGCATTTTCCTCGTTTGAGAAGAACCGTACATCCTAGGCATTATTTTCCCTAGTCGGAAGAGTATTCAGTTTTACTTGAGTTCAGGGATACCGTGTAGAATGTGGTCAGTTGTTAGTTTTCTTAAGTTGTTAGTAATTTAGTTTTTCTTAAGTTTAGGGGTCCTGCCTGAAAAATAGGGTTAGTTGTTAATCTCTAGTTTTCTTGAGTTCAGGGGTCCTGCTTGGAAAATAGGGTCAGTTTTTATTCTAGTCAAACTCAGTTTACAGTTTTCCTCAAGCACAATCTCACATCTAGGAGACGCATTTCCTAGTTTGGATCATTCAAGTTTCATCCCTAGGAGACGCACTTCCTAGTCTGGGTCTTTCAGGTCATTCTTTTAGGAGACGTACTTCCTAAATTGAGATTTCACTTCTAGGAGACACACTTCCTCGTTCAAGTTTCACCCCTAGGAGATGCACTTCCTAGTCTGGGTCTTTCAGGTCATTCTTTTAGGAGTCGTACTTCCTAAATTGAGATTTCACTTCTAGGAGATGCACTTCCTAGTTTGTGTAGTTTGAGTTCATCTTTAGGAGACGCACTTCCTAGTTTGGATCATTCAAGTTTCACCCTTAGGAGACACACTTCCTAGTCTGGGTCTTTCAGGTCATTCTTTTAGGAGACGCACTTCCTAGTTTGGATCATTCAAGTTTCACCCTTAGGAGACACACTTCCTAGTCTGGGTCTTTCAGGTCATTCTTTTAGGAGACGCACTTCCTAAATTGAGATTTCACTAAATTGAGACGCACTTCCTAGTTTGGGTAGTTTGAGTTTATCCTTAGGAGACACACTTCCTAGTTTGGATCATTCAAGTTTCATCCCTATGAGATGCACTTCCTAGTTTGGGTCGTTTGAGTTCATACTTAGGAGATGCACTTCCTAGCTTGGGTCATTCAAGTGTCACCTCTAGGAGACACACTTCCTAGTTTGGGTCATTTAGGTTTTATTTTTAGCAGACGTATTTGCTAGTCAAAATTTTCTTGGTTTTACTCGCAGAGGACGCACATCCTAGTCGAGTCTTTAATTTTACTCTCATCATTGCATCAGTAGCATAGGTGATTTACAGTTTTGCTAACAACTCACAAATTTTCCTAGTGCAAACTGGGGCAGAAAATTTTATTTGTTTTGTTGTTTTGATTGCAGGCACCCACCTGGAGAACGAGGGTCAATATTTCAGAAATCGATTTTAAGTTCAAATCAAAGAAGCATCAGGAGCCCGCCTGAAGAACATGGTCAACTTTCAATTTTCAAGTTCAAGAAGCATCAGGAGCCCGCCTGAAGAATATGGTCAACTTTCAGTTTACAAGTTCAAGTCAGAGAGGCATCAGGAGCCTGCCTGAAGAATATGGTCAACTTTTAGTTTTCAAGTTCAAGAAGCATCAGGAGCCCGCCTGAAGAACAGTGTCAACTTTTAGTTTACAAGTTCAAGTTAGAGAGGCATCAGGATCCCTCCTGAAGAATAGGGTTAACCTCCAGTTTTTCAAATCAGAAGTAGCACGAGCCGCGTCAAGAACAAGGTTTGCAAGCTCCAGTCTTCTCCAAGTTCAAGTTTATTTCAAGTGCAAGTAGCAGAATGCCCGCCTGAAGAATAGGATCAACTTCCAGTTTTCTTCAAATTCAAGTCAACATGATACCCACCTGAAGAATAGGGTGAATTTTCAGTTTCATGTTGAAGGATTAAGTGGATATTCAAGGAAGATTCAAGACAAGAAGTAGATAGGATATTGTATTTTGTTTTTATTTTGATGTAATTGTTTGCTTTCAATTTATGATGTAAATGGAAGGGACTACGGACCGGAGCCTCGACGGAACCTCACTCGACTCTCAAACTCATCATTCTATCATTTTTTTTGAACTACACGTGACCTGATTCCCGTATTTTCCCTTTTGAATAAATATTTGGTCAAAAATTAGTCGCATGGCTCACCTTGTCTTTGCTTGAAAACTTTTCATGTTTCAAGCAAAGAGGGGCATGCTGTGAGCACCTAATTTTTGACCATATTTAGATCTTTTTTTATTACTTTCAGAATTTAAATAGTTTTAACTTTAATCTTGATATTTTAGCTTGTATTTCACTTTTTTATAGGTTTTATTTGATAAAATTGAAAAATACAAAAACAAAAGAGTCATATTTTAGTTTTGCTAAGATAAGATGTAGATTTTAGTAAATAATACCTTTCTTGAGTAATTTTTATTCTATTTCAAAAATTTTAAATTGTTTTAAGTAGTATATAATTATGTATTCATTTAATTAGTTTAGTTACTGCATATTGCTTTCCAAAAGAAAGAAACAAACAAAAGAGCAAAAACCAAAAATGAAAGAAGAGAAACGTAAAGAGAACGGCAAAAGTAAGAAAGAAAAGTGGTCCCCATGTTCCTCTCTTTCCTCCAAAATCACGTGCCCACTTAACACATTTGATTCCCTTTGATCATTTGTTAATTTTGGCATTTTCCTTTGGAGGGGACCACACATTTTTAATATTGGTTTTCTTGTTCTCCAAGCCCATTAATTTGGTGGGAGCTCTATATAACAAAGAGATAAACACATAAAAAGAGGGGGGTTCTCACACATAGAAAACAGAGAAGGGAAAACGGCAATTTGGAGAAAACTGGTCGCTACACCACAAAGAAAGAAGGCCCGGATTTTTCCATTTTTTCTTTCTCTCAATCAAGAGAGGCAACAGCGGCCAAGCCCTGATCTCTCTTTCTCAAATTGGAAAAACAGTCGTCCCCCTAAAAAAAAAAAACCGGCGACCCCCATCTCCCAGAACCTGAGCAGCCGTTCCCACCTCCAAAACAAAAGCAGAGCCTCACCTCCACTTCCCTTAAGCCAAAACCTAACAGAGAGAGAACCAGCGCCTCCCTCCCTTTCTGATGATTTCATCTTCTTCTTGCTCTCAATCGAAAAAAGAGATACACACACACACCGGTTGAGGTCGCTAGTTCGAGGTTCTGTTCGAATTTTCTTCCGGTCCGTTTGGTGTTGCTTGGTTTCGTTTTGTTCTGGAAGAACGATTATTGAGGTGTATCCATTTCATGAAGAAGTTTGTCTTCTCAATTTATTGACAGAATTTCCATATCAAAGGTTCATTTCCTTTAATCTATTTTGATTCATTTCCTTTAATCCATTGTTTGCCTTACATGAATGCTTCTGTTGTTTTTAGTTTTTGTTTAAATATTTCATTATGTGATTTTGTTTGCTTGATTCATATCAATTCTATCAGCAACTAAAGAAGTAAATTTTGTCTAAGAGCTCGTTTGGATTAGCTGATTGTAAATAGCTTATCACGTTTGGATTAGCTGATTGTAAATAGCTGATAAGCTTGTAGTGCTGAAAAGTTTTTTTAAATGCTGAAACTGATTTTTAAAATAAGCATTTACGTGTTTGGATAGAAGTGCTGAAACTGATAATAAGCAGTTGATGTGTTTGATTAAAAAATGCTGATAAGCTATTCTTTTGTTAAAATGACTAAAATACCCTTGAATCTTTTTCAAAAGACTATAAATTAAAAATTTCTTTGTAAAGAAAAGAATTAATAACGAATATGAAATGAAGAGAAAGTTAAGAAATTTATTTTGGGAAAAGTATTTTGTGAATTAGAAAATATTATTAAGGATAAACTAGTAAAAGTGTTGGTCAAACTAAAAGTGCTTATAAGTTGAAAAGCCATAAGTTGGGGGTGACCGGCTTATGACTTATGGCTGATTTTAGCTTATAAGCACTTTGAGTGTTTACCAAACGCGTAGATAAGCCAAAAGGTGCTTATAAGCCAGTTTGACAAGCTTATAAGCTTAGCCAAACACCCTCTAAGTGAGAAAGAAACGACCTCCGGTTCGATTTATCTGAACCTATTTACTTTTTGGTCCGTTTAAAAAAGAATGACTACTTTATAAATTTGGAAACAAATTTGCTTAAAATTATAATTCTACCCTTAATGAGAACCTTTTATAATCACACAAATATTCTGGGCCCATTTTTGAATTGTTTAGGACCATAAATTCTATAAGTCTTTAATTTTTTCTTAAACTCCGTGTTCAGTTAAACATGTTCACATAAATTAAAACGGAGAGGGTAATGGATATGGGAATAATGGGCTGTAGCACGCTAGACTAGATTCATTAAGTTTCCGGGTTTTGTTTGTTGGGCTGTTGTGTAATCTTGAAGTTGGAAATGAGACGCTTACCCAATGAGTTTAGTCCGCCGGCCCAATAACCCTAGTATTTACATACAAAAACTGGTCCATGCTTCCATAATGGTTAAATGCCTCATAACTTCAAAACCAAATATCGTTTGGTAACTAATTGAACCGTAGTTTGCTTTAGGCATGCTTTTAATCTATTATCGTGATTATGTACATGTTCGCGTGACATAAGTACGATTTCCAAAATTTAAACCGAAGTATGCATTCACCCAACTTTGGATGAAACAATCTTAACAATAATAAATTGTTATTAGTTGTGTACACATACGCGTGACACGACTTTGACATACCAAACAAAACAAGTACACACACGCATGACTCCTTTCAAGATAATTTCATAAATCACGAATAATCAAGCAATTAAAAGCGGTAAAAGAAAAAATACACATAGGTTCTAAAAATAGGTAATTAAAACAATTTAATTAAGCCATGTATGATTAAAGCGACCGTGCTAAAATAACGTAACTCGGGAATGCCTAACACCTTCTCCCGGGTTAACAGAATTTCTTACTCGGTCTTCTGGTTTTGCGGACTTTTAAACAGAGTCAAATTTCCTCTATTTGGAATTTAACATAAATCGGTGACTTGGAACAGCATAAATTATTGCAAGTGGCGACTCTGAAATTAAATAATTAATCCCATTTCGATTAATGTTACTTTAATTGAAAAAATTTCCCGAAAAAAAAGGAGGTGTGACAATCAAACCAATGAACACAAGCATACACAAACTTATCACTTAAATAATATGTATTCTTGCTTAAATTGAAGTTAAATTACTTGATTGGTTTCTCGTAGATACGAGAGAAACCAATGTTGCGGACCAGATGACAGCTTTGACTATGATTTCTGATCGAAATCCTAATTACGGGAAGCAGATAATGATCACTCTCACTGCTGGTGGCTGAGAGAATAATGTTATTCTATTTCACTACACCATCTATTTTGACTTAAATTGTAATATCCCATGGATTAAAATAATAGCCATTATTTATGCACAAAAATGTATTCTATTATGAGCAGTTGGAAAACGAGTCTGCTTTTAGTTCTTCGAAATGCCGGTCGTGAATTATGCATTTCCGAAACATCATCCCATTAAAAATTGTGTTATATAAATCATAAATAAAAGAATATAAACGGTGTAGAAAGTACAACCAGCCGTGTTTAAAACAACTTCCACGGCCCTTAATTAGTGACGCTGATTATTGTACTAGTGTGTACGAATAAATAAAGTAAACGAACTTTAAAAAAGGAGTTTTTTCAATTACAATAAAAAATCTAGACAAAGTATGTTATTAGTGAAATTTCTATATGCTTTAGCCTTTAGGTGTTCAATGCCCGAAAAAACTACTAATTTCAATTTCCACTGTATAAAACCCACTAAATTGGAAAGCTTTTGCCAAAAATATTTGTATTCTCAAGATTTGAACCCAAATGTTAATCACATGTTCAATACGGTAGACTGTTGGCCCAACTGGGGAAAATAAAAGTAGTGGGTGATGCATCTAATCTGACTTATTGTGGGGAAGTGTACAGATAGCCATTGATTAGAGATGTCTTTACTTTTTAGACACTGTTTTAAATATATTTACTCTTTAGTCAGTGCTTAATAAATTTTTACCCGCCGGACAAAAATACCCCTGTGTTAGACATAGGTGTTGTGTAAATATTGAGGACGTGTTGTCCTTAACTTCGTGAATGTTGTGTAAATATTTAGGACAAAGCGTCCTGTATTTGCACCTTCTGCTCCTAAATTTTAGGACATCATGTCCTTAACTTCATATGTGCAATGTAAATGTTAAGGACATGATGTCCTTAACTTCACGTGTGCAATGTAAATGTTAAGGACATAATATCATTAACCTGTATTTGCAACTTCTGTTGTTAAACTTTAGGACATCATGTCCTTAACTTCCTATGTATAGTGTAAATGTTAAGGACATGATGTCCTTAACTTCATGTGTGCAATGTAAATGTTAATGACATAGTGTCCTAAACTTCATGAGTGATGTGTAAATATTAAGGACATGATATCCTTAACTTCATATGTGCAGTGTAAATGTTAAGGACATGGTGTCCTTAACTTCATGTGTGCAATGTAAATGTTAATGACATAGTGTCCTAAACTTCATGAGTGATGTGTAAATATTAAGGACACGGTGTCCTTAACTTCATGTGTGCAATATAAATATTAAGGACACGGTGTCCTTAACTTCATATGTGCAGTGTAAATATTAATAAAGTGATGTCCTTAACTTCATGTGTGCAATATAAATATTAAGGACATAATATCATTGACGTGTATTTGCAACTTAAAAAAGTGGCTATACCACGCCATTTCTACACTTATTGTAGTGCCATTGACAGATGAACAGGATTTTTTTTGGCATATGAGACAACACTCAGTACTCATTAATTATTAAATAATTCGGCAAATGTTTAGAGTTGGTTCGCTATGTTATGTATATGATGCTATGTGCTCTCATTTGTTCTAAAGCAAGAGTCGTGTATACCTAACTCCTTATCAATTTCGTATTAAAGTACTTGAACTTTAATTAAGCTTTTGAATGATAATTTGCACAATTCAATATGATAGTAGAATATATAAAGTCCTTAATCCAAATCTCATTAATCCAAATCTCATAAACACGTACCCATCAAACGAATTCTTTTACGTAAGGGAGCATCTTAAAATTTAAAATATATAAAGAAGATGTTCATTGATTAGTTGGTTCATCTTAAAGTTAGTCGTTAATCGGAGAAAAACATGCAAAAAATAATTATCTTAGACATAAGCCAATTATACTGTGTCCATTCTCTTCTAGGAGAATGATTCTTTTACAGCATGGTGGAAAAGGATAACTTAATGATCACAGAAATTACGTGAGATTAAGGATTACTTAGCTATTAAGGGACTGTTTTTCTTTTTATAAAACGTGAATTAGCTTAAAAGAAAGTAATCTTATTCCTCTGGAACCTGGATTTATCCATAACTTTTCTGTTAACCTTTCCATAAATAAATGATTTATTAGCTTAAAATTCAGGAACTGAATTGGATTCTTAACCTCGAAAGCACACGTTTAGCCGGCCCCTAGGCCCATTTCAGAATAAACCCGCACTCAATTTCAAATATTCATACATTTTTAGTCGTGTTAATTTTCATACCAGTAAATTACGCATAGACCCTTTCAAATTCATCCCCATAAGGTGTTCATGGTTCGGTTTGAGTCGGTTTTTCCCTAAAAAGAAACAAACCAAGTAAGTTGTTTTTTCAAATATTGGAACCAAATCAAACCAATTAAGTCAGTTTTTTATCGATTTGGTTTTTGTCGGTTTTCCGTTTTTTTCGGTTATTTATCGGTTTTTTTCTTAAACATGAGACATACAATACCAAACGCATATTCCGTCGACTACATTTTCTACATAACACTATCAAATCAATTGCTCTTTGAGAAATCTATCATTTATCAAGATATATTGATGATAATTGAATCAAATAGTGATGAATAATTTAAGTACTCAATTAAAAATCGATTATTTTTAACATGAAATTAATTCTTGTTCTTAGCAAAAGAAAACTATCGATCAAACTAGAATGTAAAGGCAAAGAAATAGATTATTAAATAGCAAAATATTAGACTAAAAATATATGAATAATATGTACTTTAAAATTTTAAAAACTTTATATAAAAATATACCTATATATAGGTGTAATAATAAATTTTAATAGCTACTTTTATAGTCGGTTTGGTTCAGTTTTTTCGGTAATTTTTTTATTAAAACCAAAACCAAAACCAAACCAAATTTGATCGGTTTTTAAAATTCAAAACCAAAACCAAACCTAAAAAGTATTGATCCGCCTAATGTTTTGTCCGCCAGTTGTTTGGATCATCTGAGGAGGGTCTTCTATGGAAATGACATATCAAAATTAATTAGCTTAAAGTTAGGTGACCATATCATAGATTAATTAGACGATAGAGACACTAGATGAATGATTTGCTACCTATAAGAGATATAGAACGTCATTACAGTCCAATCCACTTAACCTTTAAGTAGCTTTTTACATTAAAATAGAAAAAGGGAAATTTGGAAAGAGACCAAAGAGCTTATCTAAGAAAAATAAGCTTTTTGTTCTTTAATTTCTTATTTCTTATTAGAGGATAGTGAGACTAGATGAATGATTGTTAGCCTTCTTAGTGTGTGATAAAGCATTGGATGACACGAGAAAACTCTTAGGTACGTACACTTATTAAAATACAGTAAGTGTTAGGTACTTCAATTGAATGGTAGATTATTGGAAACAAGTGTTGCCAACTTAGGAGGTTCACCTCTTAAAGATTCTCTGATTTAGCTCTTGTGCATATGTCAAGAGTTCAATCGCCATGGCTGCAAATACCATAGATCTCAACACCATGAATGTACCAGCTGCGTACGCTGCTGCAGCGAATCTGATCCCTTTAACACAGGGCTTACCCGAGGAGAATTGGAGCGATGATAAAAAGGGTGCGATACCTATCTGGCATGTTATCCCTCTTGACGACAACAATACAGTTACTGTAGGTGCAGAGTTCTTGCAGCAAATATCCAACAACACCATCTCTGTAAAGACTGCCATAAATTGTTTCAAGCTCGCAATGAGTTTGAAATCTCCTGACACTGGAGTTGCCGATCCTTTACTGTCTCAAGCCGATAGACCTGCTGCTGCAACAGCAAACCCTACGGTCTTAGCCAGAGAGGAGATGCCTGCTAGCGATACATTCCCCAATACACCGTACACGCTTCAAGCCCCTCAGGTGGTTCCTGGACCAGCGCCTGCTGTGATTTTGCCTGTAGCTAACGCTGCAGCAGCTGCACATGTAGCCGTTGTACCTCAAGCAGGAGAAGACACTCAGGAAGAGAAGCGCTATGCCTACTGTTTCATCGCTGCATATCTAATGAAATTGTTGGTAAAGTCTGCTGACAACGTTGTTACTGGGTTAACTGCTATGAGGACCAGGTATGAGGGATTTTACGGCCCTGCAAGGACTGTTGCAACATTTAGCTTATCTCAAGCCCAGGCCATCGCTTTGAAAAAAGGATTGGCAAGCAGGGAGAAAATAATGGTGACGTACACTATGGCATTAGCTCACACTCAATCTCAAGCTGCAGGTACTCTAGGTACAAGAGAAATGTGGATCCTGAATTATTTAGGGTTTTTGCCTTTTTCCTACAATGGCCTTCATGCGTACACATTGCTGATTGACCTAAAGAATTTCTCGAAAGTTCCTTTGGGAAAGCTTATGTCTTTATTCCATGTGAACATCACGGCACCTGCCTTGAGCAAGATTGCATACATAGTCCAAAATCTTGAGAGGACTACAGATAACCCAAACAGAGATGTCTATTTCAGATATTGCTCCTCATGGGGTCCTCAGTATTTCCAGAGCTTGAGGTCTAGGCACTGCACTCATCTGCTATACACAGTTGCCTGGGCATGGAAGACTATTGCACCGGGACATCCTAATGCAGACCCCGAGAACATCGCAGCAATCAGTTCTCTATCTAGAACAATGAAAACTACATTGAAGCAAGCAGGGATCATCATAGGAGAATCTTTGAAGAAGAACTGAGTGGTATCTCAGCATCTCCAGCCTTTGCCATGGCTATTGCAGCAACGGAAGGTGATGTTGATGAAGAGGATTGGGAAGATCTGTGATCACACTGAGAGGGGGTTATGGTTAAATTAAATAAACTATTTGGTTGTTATGCTTATATTATATGTTTCACTTATGCTTATACCTTAATATTAGATAAACTTTCCTATATGCTTTCATTATTCTTTATGTACTAATAGCTTATTATCTTAACATTTAAGGAAAAAAAAAGAAAGTGTTGCCAACTTATATCAAATTAAAAAAATTGTCTATAACTTTCTAACAATTTAAACTTGGCAAAATACCTTAACACCCCTTAAACTTGATACGGATTATTAGTTACAATCTTAAACTATTCGTGGTCTTAATTACCCCCTCAACTTGGCCTTTTGAGAGCCATTACTCCCATGGACGCTGATGTGGCAAAGAGTGTGGGTGCACTCGCCTGCCACATAAATTTTTTTGTATATGTGGCATTTTTTTAAAAATAAAATATATTTTTACCTTTTTAAGTATGTTACTTTTTGGATAATTTTTTTCGAATACAATTTATAATAAAACTTCGATAGAACTACAGTATTTAGGGTAAATATTTTTATTTGGCTAAAAATAATAAAATCTTAGTTTAATATTTTTTTTAATTTGATCTAAAAATAAAAATTTATACAATTGAAATAAATAGTCATGTGTATTTTTTTTATAACTTTTTAGATGCCTTGACTATTTATAACATATACTCATGATAGTTATCTCATAATTTTTTGTTATTATTTTTTCTTCTTGTAATCCTTTTGTCATATCAAGGATTTACATTTGTACTTGCAATTATCAAATTTTCTGATGAATATAATGGGACTGAGAATTAGGCAATTTGACATAAATACTTTATTTAGAGGTCCATTATTTCTTGTCAGAAGATGTCCATAGGTTTAAACAGAAATTTCAAAATAACTAAATCAATTAATCTGAAATCTCTAAGAAAACAAACCAAAGAGATTATTTGGTTTGGTATTTCATAACCGAAAACTTGAACCGGAGTTTTCATAATCCAATTCGAAGTGCCTGATGTCAGAAGAGTCATTTTTTTTTTACAACTTTTTAGATGCCTTGACTATTTATTTCAATTGTGAGCACTTAATTTTTTACCGTGCTTGAATTTTCGCTCACTCATCTCACCAATATCATACTTTGTCTCCACTCCATTTTACCTTGTCCCCCATGCTTGTCCCCGCCCAACTTTACCTTGTCCCCCATGCTTGCCCCCATGCTTGTCCCCTCACTCACAACCCACATATCCCTATTTTTCCTTCAAGTAAAGACCTACACAGAAGGAGGGGGAGGGCTTCCTAAACAAAAAAAAGGGGCAGAGCTTCTAGCTCTAAAAAAAAAAAAACAAAGTCGTAGCTTCTCCTGAAAAAGGGCAAAAAATACACGAAAACAGGCGCGGAAACCCCCCAAAAACGCAGCACCTTTAACCAGCAAAAACACTTTCAAAACCAGTGTAAAAATAGTTCCAAAATCGCTCTTAAAGGCAGCCGAAAATCTGCCCAAAATTGCAGCAATAATACGGCTGAACCAGCTGCAAAGCTCCCGAAAAACAGCTTCAAAAATTAGTCCAAACACCATCCCTGAGCTTCGTCCATGTTCCGGTCGAATTTGGCGAGGTGCGAGTTTCTTTCCGACGAGGTTGATGTTAAGTATTTCTGGTTCCTGTTATTCGAATATCCATCTCCCTTTGTTGTTTGTTTATTTATTTTGCATTTTTGTAAAAATAATTTACTGCTTTGATTTTGTTTTGGTTTGTTTAGTTGGTATCTTGTTGTTTGAATCTCTTATTTTCGCTTTTATTTCATGAGCATGAGATCCAAGTCTAATAATCTTTTGGTTTTGTTTGATAGCTGAAAATAAGAAGTAGTGATGCATTATTTTTTCTTGGAACCATTGTCCATTAGTTATGCCAGTTTGGCCATTTGTTTGTCTTGTGAAAATCAAAAACTAGATCGGACATACAATAATATAGTTTGTGAGTTTGGGCCAAGTAAGATATGTTCTGCCATAATCCAAAAAAGAGAAACAAGAGAGTCCCTACTTATTCATATGCCGACCCAATTTTTCTGAAACACATGAAGCTAGCCCACTTTTTCATAACTAATTCACTTTATTTCCTCCACAATATTATCCATACCTTATGACTTTACAATAATCTCAAAGTTTAGATAGAATAATGAACACGATAGAGTACTTTAGGCATGCTTTTATTGTGATTTCCAAAATTAAAACTGAAGTACGTTGTTCACAATTTTGGCCAAAACAATCTTAATACAATAAAATGTTATTAATTGTGTACACGTACGTGTGACATAATTTTGGCATAATTAAAAAAACGGATTCACACGTGACTCGTTTCAAAGATAATTCTATATTTTAATAATTAAAAGCGGATAGATAAAATATGGAAATCATTAAATCACAGTTTATTCTAAATTAATTCAAATCAAGTTGTAGTCAATAAAGCTACCGTGCTAGAACCACGGGACTCAGGGAATGCCTTACACCTTCTCCCCGATCAACAAAATTTCTTACCCGGACTTTATTTTGCAGACCAATAATAAAAGAGTCAAATCTTCCTTTGACTAGGGATTCAAACAAAAGGTGACTTGGAACGCCCAAAAAAATCAATTCCAAGTGGCGACTCTGTAAATAAAATAATCCCTATTCAAGTTTGTCACTTTAATTGGAGAAACTCTTTAACCCACCATCCATAACTCATTTTATCATTTTGGGGGTAGTAAAAGGGGTGTGACAGCTCTTGGCGACTCTGTTGGGGACCTTCAAGAATTCGAGCTTGTACATTGACTTTATTTGGCTTTATTAATTTTTGTATATATTGTGATTTATTTGGGCCTAATGTGTTACATGTCGAGTTTTTACCGTTTTGATATTGTTGAACTGTACATATAAATTGTATCTTCTCTCGCATCCCTCTGAGTCTTTTGATAATTAGTTATGTTGTGTTTGCCTACCAGCATCACAAAATTTCTGTCTTGAGATAAAGCCAGTTAGCCTACCAGCTTCTGGTGAAGGATTTAGTCATACGTATTTAGGCGGGAGAGCCGTTAGCTAGCCAGTACTATTCTACTACTGGTGACGCTTGACGCTCCACGGCTCGGGTTGTCCGCCCGGGTAAGCCAGGTCTAGATACCATCTCTATTAGGATTTACAAACTTAGAAGAACAAGCCACAAGCAATGAATATCCCTAGTTGGCTACGCTTTATTTGCATCATGTGCATTTGACTTAGCATCACTCGACGCAAAGGCCGATTTCTGTTTTAGGACAGATACCTTGTTGAGACCATTATGTCATGTTATGTGCTACTTGTTGCATTTTTTGGGAGGCTTGCATGTCGACCGACTTCAGCATAAATCAGTTGAATGAACAGAGAAAAAATGATGTGGTCTAGTGCACATGATTTTTAAAGATTAATTTTCATAAAATAAAAAATAAAAAAAAATAGTCGATTTTGACCGAACGACGCAGGTTTGATTCTCACCGAATGTGAGATACGTAGGCAAACCTTATCGGTTCCGGCCCCCAATTTTCAAAAATCCAAAAAGATATTTTCCTTTAATTGCTTCTTTAGAATTTTTTTTTTGGGACCAAAAATCCAAAAATATTTTCTTCCTTTTTTAAAAAAAAAAAAAGTCTTTCACCCAAAATCTAAAAAAATATTTTCTTTCTTTTGAAATTTTTTTTTAAAAAAAATCAAAATTCAAAAAAAATTCTTTTTTTTCTTCTTTAGAAGTTTTTCTTTCACCAATTTCAAACAAAAAAAAAAAAAAAAATCAAAAACAAAAATTAAAAATATTTTTTTTGCTAGGAGATTTTGTCGGATTAATTGTATATGAAAAAAAAAGAGTAAGTTTATCTATTTTATTTCTCATTCACCGAACTACGCGGGTCTGATTCTCACCGGATATGAGATACGTAGGCAAACCTCATCGGTTCCGGCCCCAATGTTCAAAAAAAAGAAAAATTCAAAAATAGTTTCCCTTTCGTGGATTCCCTCTCTAGAATTCTTTCCTTAGAAAATCCAAAAAGAAATTAAATCCAAAAATATTTTCCTTCTTTTCCGAAGCCTTTCATTCGAAAAAAAAAACAATCTTCAAATCAAAATCCAAAATATTTTCTTCCTTCTTTAGAATTCCTTCTTTTTTTTAAAAAACAATTCAAAATTTCATAAAAAGAAAAAAAAACTCAAAAAAATATATTTAAAAGTCTTTATATATAAAAAAAGAAAAGAAAAAGAAAAATGGGTGTCTATTCCCAATCCCCCTGAACTACGTAATGATCTGATTCATGCGGCGACGTGATACGTAGGTAACCCACAAAAGGTTCGATCAAAATATTTTTCAATGATTCTAAGATGAGGGATCAAAATGAGGCGTGAGTAAAAAAAATGAGAAGAAAATAAGAGCGTCAATAAGAAGCAACCTCATAAGCCGGAATGAAACATGAAGCCTCCAAAAGCATGTTAGAAATAGTGATAATGATAGGAGCATAGCACATTATGTGTGATTCATATCTATAAAATGCTTAACCCTAACACGTTTGCTGCCTCTTAGCTAGTAAGCTTAAGGTGGTTGGTTTGTGGTGAAACTGGCAACACACAATTACTTCACTAGATCTAAGGGAGCAGTAGTAATGGCCAACGATGATGAGATCGAGCTGATCAGTGACGACCCCCAGGGTCAATCAGTTGAACAAGAGTCAGAGGAAATAAGAAAATTGAGACAGCAATTATCTGATGTATATCAAGCTTGGGTGTCTGGTCAGCCTCCACCCCGGGGTCCCTCAGAGGGAACTTCCACCGTGCCCCTGGCTACTCAACCACCGCTCCATGCAACGAGCGGCCACATTCTACCACCAGGGTATGTGCCAAACTACAGCCTCCACGTTGCTCCTGGTACCTCTAATGTGCGACCTCCAGTCGCACCGGTCAGGAACACTCCTCTAGTCGTGTCTGGCGCACCGGCATACACAATCCCGCCTCCACCTCCTGTGACGAGGCCAATCAACGAGCCACCATCTCATGCTTATGATGGCCAATACTACTCTCCAAATATGGCTTTCGGGGTCTCGGCTCCATATAATCAGACTCCTCAGTACGAGTCACCAGTGGA